AGGAAGTGAGGGCCGGGGAATAAAGGGGATAGGGGCTTGCTTCAGCAGGATAACTGTCACCTCTCAACGGAGGTGACACTTGCGCTGAGACTGGAGGATGACACCGAGCTGCGGTCAAACAGGGGAGCAAGCTTCTGGGCACTGGGAACTGCTGTGCAAAGGCCTGGAAGTAGGGGAGCACAGGCAGCATAGGCAGGACCAAAAGCCCTGGATGGGGGTGTGTGGAGGGAGTAGACGAGGAGGAGGCCTGTTTTCCTATAGCTCTTCTACGCCCATCTTGAAGCATGTTGTCCCTCGCCACTCCCCCTCTCCAGGGTCTGACTCAGGGGTGGGCAAGAGAGGGTGGAGCATGCCCAGGCACTCTGCCCGCCCAACAGAGTTCCTGGACAAAGGAATGTGGCACAGTGAAAAGGCCACGTACCTCGGAGTCAGATGACCCGACGCTGAACTGACACTTCTCAGCTGTGCACTTAACCTCTCTGAGTCTCAGTTTCCTCCTCTGTAAAATGGGCATGATAATTGTGCCTGCCTCACGGAGCTTGAGTGGGGTTTAAGTGAGGTGCCTAGTAGCACAGTGCCTGGCACGTAGTAAGTGCTTGATGAAAGATAACTGTCGTTATATAACACCCCCTGGACCATCCCCAAATGATGGCTCTGCATATATACTCCTAATTTCCGCATTCAAATAGGGTACAAAGACCCTTTGAGACCCAGAGGTCAGATATGGGAGGAAGGGAAGGGAAGGCTGTCCTGGCAACTCTCAGGTCATATCCTGCTGGGCTCAGTTGCATGAAGTTGACCCAGGAGGAGGCTCCTGCCCAGAGAGGAGTGAGAGCCTGTCTTTCTTGTAGAGATTTACAACTTGGGCGGCACTGGGCCCGCCTGACTCATGCTTTATTCAGAATTAGGAATAAGTAACTGCAGGAGGTTGCCCAACCCTGTGGTCTCCTGCCCCTTCCCCTTCATCCTGGCAAAAAGTGTCCGGTGGGATTGCTGGGGCTCCAGGGTAGGGTGGCCGGAAAGGAATTCTGA